AGTCACTAGGGTTTGTCAGTTTAAGTACATAATTAATTTAGAAAAGAAAAGAGAGAAGGGGAAAACAAAAGCTGACATGTGCAGCCCCAAACGAGGTCCGAATGCCTCAGGTAAATGCCTCAAACCTATGAATTTGAATGTATATTAGTAGATGTCATATTTTAATTATTATAATTATATGGATTTGTGAAAGAGAAAGGGGAATTCGAGGGGAATAATTGAAGGTATAACCTAATTCTTAGTTCCTATGTGTATAAGGGTATAACATGTTATGGTAAGACAAATGTCATCACGTCCATTTTTGGATCGTGACATATATGGTGCAAAATGATAGATGATACATATATACGTTCCTCCGATTAATAGTTTTTAGTTTCTTCACCGATGTTTAATATCTGCATTAAAGTTTGATTAATTTGAATTCGCGCCAAGTAGGATCTCACTCGGACTATAGGTCTTTTTCTATACATTCTTCCAACAATTTTTCTTTATATCAAGTCAATTGTATTTGAACAAAACTCAAAATTATTAATAAATTAATTGTAGAGATTTCTTTTTGAGATATCAAATTCATCTTTTAACCATTTGGATGAATTTTTTTTTCAAATTTAATATAAATCGCTTTAATTTCGTTTCAACATAATTTATAAATTTATAAATCAATAAAAACAAAATAACAATACTATAAAAAAGAACATAAGAAGATAGAACTAAATAAAATAGGATATATCTAATTAGACAATTTTAATTATAAAATAAAAAAGAAAAAATATTGAAAATAACTATAAAATCATTCAAATACCCAAGCATTCTCTTTATGGATATCCTCTTCTTCCTCATGAATAAAGTCATTATTGACATCAAATTCTTTACATATTTCTTCTAGTGTTTTTCCTTTAATCCTATCGACAAGTTCTTGTCACATTATATCAAATATTTCCTTACCGTTAAGAAAATTAACAGTTAAGATAAGAGCATGCAAAATCGAGTAGTGCACATTCACAAAAGTCTTGTCAAATTCATCAACATGCAAAATCGAGTGGTGCACATTCACAGAAGTCTTGTCAAATTCATCAACATGTCTTTGGAGACGTCATCCTCCAAATGTTTCATCGAGTATTTGATCACTTTGGTCATTGTTTTGCTCTGAACATTAGGCAGAGAAATGACATTTAAACCACATAACAAGAAGTCAATCAATGGTGATTTCTCTCAGGTAGTTATGGATCTTTCATGGTGGTTATTTGGTGATTTAAGTGACGACGATGAACAAAAATTGAGCAATGTTGCTCCAGTAGCAATGAATCTTCCATGATGATAATTTGGTGGTTTAAGTGATGGATGATGAAGAAAATTTGAGAAGACAGTAAATATATTTTTTTTCGGTATTTGAACTATAGATTTGAGTTTTGACTGTGTGTGGTCTTCTTCTTCAATACTCAATAATCTGCCGTAATCCAACATTAAGAAAACGTTGTCGGTTCATGTTAGAGTCAAATTCTACCTAACAAGAAACTCCTCAATTTGTGGCTTTCTTAGCTTCATTATTATTTTTCGAAGAAAACAATCAGGGTAATGGACATGACACTTATGGTTGTTGTGAGTTGAGGGATGCGGGGGTGGAGGAATGGTGAGAGATAAAATTATTATTTTTTTAAAAATTGAAACCTTCTCATTTTTATTTAAAATATATATGAAATAATTATGAAATCACATTAATATATGTAATGTTGATATGACATGTCATTTATGTAAGGAAGAGTGAGCTACACACATTGTTGGAGGGGCTTAAAAGTCTTATTTTAATTAAATTAAGGGTTCAGATGACAAAGGATTAAGTAGAAGCGTCTGACTATATAAACTCATTCAAGCACAATGGTCCATTGCACTATTGTAAATCTAACATTTTTCCTCCTCTTCGCCGTTGCTCAACTTCACTGCTATAACTCTATTTCAACCATCTAATTATTCTATCACGCAATCATAGTTGTACTGGGTAACAGAGGAGGTCATGTAATCTAAGATATTTGAATCGGATATCTATTGAAATATGTAATTAAAATATTTTCAACCTCAAATTTTTGATTTAATCTGTCGCAAATATGATTTAGACATTTCTAGTGAATATACAATATATTAAAAGAAATAAAACATTGAATGTTGCTTTTATATATATATATATATATATATATATATATATAATATATATATATATATTATATAAATATATATATATATATATATATATAGAGAGAGAGAGAGAGAGAGAGAGACGGGGGTAAATTATCCGCGCTTGCGCGGTGATAAATAGTAATAGCATCGAACTTGCAAATAACTTTTTACTAATATTCATACATTAAAAATAATGAAAAATAGGTTCTTAATAAATATTAGCAATATTCCAACATTAATTTATTTATTTGTCATTATAATAGAGAACGCTTAATTAATGAATTATTTGCGAAATAATAATTCATTTGTTCTTTAATCAACTTTAAAAGGAAAATAAAGAAGAAAATATGTAAATATATATATATATATATATATATATATATATATATATATATATATATATATATATATATATATATATATATATATATATATACAACGACATTTCACAACAAAAAGAAACATTTAAGTTGCATAGATTAAACAAGTGTGATGTATATCTTAGAAGAAAAATCAAAATTTTGTTAACATATTCGTAAAAGAAAGTAGGCTTGAACATGAAAGAAATTATCTCTTCTAAACTTGCATAATGAATTTTTTCAATTGATAAGTGAGTAATTTCATATCTATGTAAATAAATATAATATATAAGCTTATATATAGTACTTTAAGTTATAGAATATCAAAACATTAATTCTTGGAATTAGGTACAATATTTAATTACCTAACTACACGGTCTTTCTTTCCATAATTTCTAAAATTCCCTATCATTTTAAATTATTTCAAAAATTCCTCTTTTCCTTTCATTTTCCAGATAAATTATTTATATCTCTTCCAATCCAACGTTTTTGTTTCTATTTTTACTCCTAAAATCACTCTCATATATCAACAGTTACATCAATTACTCAATTTTTTAATTTCAAATCTATTCTCTCTCAAGTTCATCAATTTCAAGTTCCTAAATAAGGAGAACTATTTCTTCATCAATTTTTTATTTTCAATTCTTTAGATTTCGTTTTTCATTAAAAAATAACGTTTTTAATTTACAATTTACTTATACATATGAATTTTGCTTCGTCTTTTTTATATGGTACCTTGTTTATTTTGTTTTGATGATGAAAACTTTCATGAAATATTCTTTTGTTGGCTTATCATTTGAGTTTTTTTTCTTTTCGTAACCGTCAAAACATTCTTTTGTATCGAGATGGCAAGACAATTTCTTATCTGGTAATGGAATCATTGGATCTTTCAAAATTACTTATTTACCTTTCAAGGTAAACAACATAATGTTTCATCAGTTGGCTTATTGTTTCTATTAAGTATCAATTTGACTGATTTATAATATGTAGTTAGAATTATGTATCAAGTATAATTTTACATTTTTATGTGTCATATTAAAGTAGTATTGTTTTTGTTAAGTATCAATATGATTGATCTATAATAGTTAGAATTATGTATCAAGTATAATTTACATTTTTATGTATCATATTAAAGCCTATTATTTATATTGAGTATCAACATCATTTTTTCAATTGCAGAATATCCTATACTTTATTATTAGTAGATACAAAATTTCAAAAAAAGATATTATGTATATAATATATCATTGCTTCAAATGATACATTTTTACATGTCGTCTCTTTTAACTTTGGCACATATCACAACTATTGATACTATTATTCTATCCATACAAAATTTACAAACAATTAAGTATCAGACACACAATAATGTATATCAAACTAACTTAATGAAAAAATAAAAATCAAAAAATGTAACCAGAACTGAAAACATAACATTTTTTCATTTATCACATCATAAAATAGAATCTAAAAGTACTTCATAAAGTATCTAATTTGGGAATTATTAGATAAGAAGTAGAAAAGTATTTCTAAAAGGCAAGCATCAAAAATCTTTGGGGAAGAAAATACATGTTTGCGTTCCTTTTTTCACCTTCAACACACACAATTTCACTGGTTATTGCCTCAAAATTTTGTATCTCTTCATCACTTTTATCCGATGTATCAATGCATAGTGAATACATACCGAATCTTACCTCATATTTCTTCATTTCTATATACAATCCCCCCCCCCCCCATATAATTCCGAATACATAATGAAGACAAATTACCTTCAACAATGTATCTGATCTCGATGTTTTTTTTTTCAATTCATCAATACCCAATTCAGTTGCAATTGTTGAAATAAGATTTACAAATGAAATATTTTTTCCAAGCACTATCACATCACTTCGTATCTAACATCACTAACCTATGATCCAAAATGCCTTAACAAGATCAAAATATTCATTTTGAATCTTCAGAAAATTGCGTTTCAAAAATGTTTGAATCAATTTTTTAATGTTTTTTCAAAGAACGGAAAGAAGATTCACAATTTTAATTTTAAAAATTATAATTCAGTTAAAGGTTTATGACTAATTGGTTGAAGAAAGATACGTACGCGTGATTTGTGGGAATCAATTAATTTCTGTTTTAATTCCTTATTTAATGCTTAAACTGATAACAACAACTTAATAATTTAAATATCAATCATTATTAATTAAAGCACATGCCTACAATATTATTTATCCGAAAAACACTAAAAAAAGATTTTTATACACTTAAAAAAGGATTTTTAATAATTAATAAAAAAGTAGGGATACACAGTAATTTTTCTCTTATACTATGTGATTTGCCTAATTTTTACGATATATATTCTCTATGTATATAAGCCAAGAAGAGTTGGACTAACACGTCATATATAAGTTGTACCAAAAGTAAAATGAATTGTACCAATAGGGTTAATTTGATAATTTGATTCATGGCTTTTCAATTAGTGTGTATATTCATCTGTGAAAAACGTGTCCTGGATACGTGATATACCCATGTTCCTTTTCATCCATTTTCTTTCCCAAGAAAAAATTCTCTGCAAAATGGAAGGGTTTTGCAAGCTCTCATATGAAATTCTCAGTTAAATTGCATACCTAGGAAGGTATGCGCTGCTTCTTCCCTTTCTTCTTACTTCTCATTTTTGTTTTGCCTTTTGATTTTAGATCTCATTTTGTGCTAATGTTGCATGCACGGAATCTAAACTTCATTGAATGTTGTTGTTATTGTTGTTTACTGCTCTGTGTCCCTATTATAGCTTCGTATTTCAATTTGGTGTGTATTTCATAAATGTGGTGTTGCTTCCGCTTTTGTTCTTGATGCGGGTGTTTTCTCAATTTGTTATTTTTTTTTATAAATTGGACTTTACAGGTACTTGGAGAACAAAGGAAAGGAAAGAAATTGAAAAGATGTGATGTAGGGAACATTGAGCATTATAAGGTAAATTGAACTTAATTTTGAACCTGAATAGAACTGACAGAGTGGTTGATTGGTAGCAGAACCTCGAAATTACATCTTTTTCCTGTTAATAACAACTATTTTTGGAGTACATACTGCATAGTTTGCTTATTTGAAAGTGGTAATTACTGTGGAACACATTATTGTTAATGTGATAGTCTACTTATTTGAAAGTGATAATTACCGTAGAACTCTTTATTGTTAACGTATTGCTTGATGAATGAGTCTTTTTAAGCATAAGAGTGGAATAAGAGAAGATAGAATTGGACATTCTAGCAATTTTTGTTGATGGAGATCCATGTCCATGACCTAACAGTTTGGCATGGTAGATGAGTCAATTTGAGTTTCATGGTAAATTGAGGATTTGTTGTTGAGCTTTATAGGTACATTTTTGTATGTGACTAAAAGAATAACTAGCACCTTTGGTCTTCTTCTGATAATCTTACATATCAAAACGAAAATTTTATATATATATATATATATATATATGTTGGACTTTGAATAACTGGAAGGTTTCGCTATTAGAGTTACCCTATTTAACAACTCTTTCTTCTATACGGAAAGTCCAACATTTCTCCCTCTTTAGTTGATTTGATTTTACAGTTGTATATGCAGTTGCATTATAATGTTGAATACTGACTTGTGTGTATGTATATAAACATAAATAATAATGTGCTTATATAACAAGGTAGACTTTCTTTTAACATGAAGAATACTTTGTAAAATGAGTTATTTATTTTTCATCGAGTGCAATTTTAACATATATTATTCATTTATCTGAAAGCTCTGTATTCATTGTACTACGTCTTTGCTTCTTAAAGAACCTAATTGAGAGAACCAAAACAGACGAGCCTCAAGAGTTGTACAACTTCATGAATAAAAGTAATAAACTTAATTTTATTTTTTTAACATGTGATCCCCTCATTGTATTACTTCAAAAATAATGAATAGTTGGTGGATTTACATAATGTCTCTTTACTTACTGTTTGTCTACTATACATGGATGACCATAGGGTGAGATTGAATTTATTCTGTCCCTATGTAAGATGACATAGTTATGTCAATTATTGTCTCCCAACTCCTTGGAGACTAGATTTTCCATTTTGTATAGGATAGTCACGGGATGAGATAGGGGGCGTTGTAATCTAGCAAAATACAAATGGGATGGATGGGTGAGGATTTAGGGGTAGCTGGTGTAGGATAGTCGGTGAATTTGGAATTTTCACTAAGGTTTTTCAGTAATTTATTTTTTAAAAATAGTGCTAGGCATTTGAAGGCAATTTAAAAGAGTTTTTGGGATTAAAGAAGTTGTTGATGTTTTGATTAACAAAGCTCAAGTTATTTTTTTACCCCACTTTTGTTAATGTTTGTAATCTTATTCTTCATTTTTTGGGATTTTAGTTGCAGAATGAATGTATGAATTTGATGTTTATGGAAGTTTTAGTGGATAATGATTTAGGCTTATTATGTAGAAATTCTACAAAAGGTTATCCAAGTTTAAGAATTTTTTTGATAATTGTGGTGTTTGAGCTAGCTTGCATGGACCTTGACTAATTTTATGGGTACTTGCTACCTCTCACGAGCATAGGCATCAGATAACTCTGTCCCTCGGAGGATGTGACTCAAGGTTTGAGATTCATGAAAAACAAAGTTTGAGTTATCCTTTGCCTTAGTTATGTTAGTGTGCGTCCATTGTTTTGTGCTTATTTCAACAACAACAACAACATCATCAACACACACTGTGTAATCCCAAAAGCGGGGTTTGAGGAGGTAGAGTGCACGTAGACCCTTACCCCTACTTCGTGGAGATAGAGAAGTTGTATTTTTTATCTCTGCAAGAGAGTACAAATTTATTTCTTTTTTCAAGTTTTTTGGATTTTGTTGATCATATGAGCTAATTAGGTAGAGTTTGAAGCTTTCCTTTATATTTTATTTATGATTTTTGTAGAAGTAAGCCACTTTGAATAAATATAGCTCCATGAGCAAAAGCTCCTGTCATGATGAATCCTGCTTATGTATGTTCTAAGCATCTTGATTGTTTATATAGAAATGAGTTGTATAAATTAATATTTTAATCGACATATGGTAAAAAAAATCAATTGATGTCTAATTAATGATCAACTCAACAGGGAGTGGAGTAAAGGTGCAGTGAAGGTTACTAGCTTTAATGATCAACTCAACAGGGAGTGGAGTAAAGGTGCAGTGAAGGTTACTAGCTTTCCTGTTGAGACTTCCGCTGCACAACGATTCAATTATGTACATGTTCTTCACTAGAGAAAAGGAAACCATCCTCCAAGATCAAACTTTTGATTAAAAACAAAATGGCAATGCTATACTATTTTTGTTACCATTATTATTGCAGCTCTAAGTTGATTGAATCTATCTTTGTTGGAGTATAATGCATTAACATTCTGTTATATTTCATATTGAGCTTCACAATTTCTTTACAAAGGTTTCTTCACACTTAGATTATAGCTATTTGTTTTATCTGCTTGAGTTAAGCTATGGGTCGCAACTTTATAGATGTTTCAATCTTTTTCTCATTTTCAGCCAAATATGTTACCTATTGAACTCATACCAATACATTAATATGCAAACTAATGCTAGCTTTAAACTAGCTAAATAGTTCATTATTTTTAACTCTTTTTACTTTTACAGGACCTACTTTATAATGGTAATTTCTGGAGTTTTCCTACACAGTTTATCTCGATTTGTGTATTTTTATTCTTCTTCTTCTGGACATGCATATACATTTGTTTGAGAAAAGTGTTTTTTTAATAATTGTTATATTGCTAGCACATATATTTTGGATGTATGTGCTGGTATGGTCTTTAATATCCTTCGGTCCAAATAGCTTGTCTGGATGTATTCTTTTATATACGATGGAGTGGGCTATACGTGACCCACGTTAAAATCTTTCTTTTCTTATGAGATTTTGATTGAATAAACAATGGTTATTTTAAACGCTGTCTACTGGCTCTCCAACTGATCAGTGGGTTCATGCTGCACAGAAATCGAGACCTGAGAAGGAGGCTGTAGGAGAGACATCAGCATAACAGAAATCATCAAAGGTGACAAGGACCCAGAAAAGGGGGATGTTGAGGAAGAAGGTAATGAAATTGAAAATACAGACTGAAGCGGAGAAGAAACGAAATGTTGGTCTGATGGTAAAGTATCCAACAGAAGATAATGTTGGGAAAGACCACAAGAAGCTGGAGAAGGGATATGCCTCATCAACAAAGTTTTCTGATAATCTTTCTTTCACAAGGCTTGGTTCTGGAAGATTACCTGATGGAGGAATACTTCTTCTTTGCTTGGTATCGTAAACGAAATAACCAAATCGGGACATGGGAGAACATTTTCCAAGCAAACATTCAAAGAGTAGAGTACTAGCTAATACAAATATTGTGCTTGGCGGAGTAGGACCAAAAGAAATCAGACTCAAGGATTCATGTATCATGATAAACTACCGTCCATTTATAGGTACTGAACCCTTTAATTCAGATTGTTGCAGTACAAATATAAGCATAATATGAGTTCTTCCTTGTCATAATTTGTTCATTGGGTGCCATTGCATCTTTTACTTATCTGTTCAACAACTATCTACTAATGATTTTGGGATATCTGGTCAACACAGGCCCAAAAGGTGTAGTTTGGTCGTTTAGTTTCATAAACCAACCAAATATCAGTCTTTTCTATGACATGACATGCTCTAAATTTTAAAGATTTCTGTTGAATCTGATTTTATAAGTTACATTTTTTAATGGGCGTCATTTGTGTAATTTTATTTTGGATATGTGGAATGCCCCTTATTATTTATGAAGACATTCTCCAATGTAAAAGTAAGTACTTATTCAATGTACTTTTACATTAATGTAGTAATTGTGACTTTATGATTTCCTATATGTTGTAAATGTTAGACCATTGACATTTTTTTAGCTTATTATTATTTTGACTGTTTTTTATTTATTTCAATTTAGTGCTTCCTATTTTCTAGCTAGACTTAGTCAACTTTAGTTGCTCAACTTTCTGAAGTTAGTGGCCCCATTATGGCTGTTAGTAGCCCCCTTTTATGGTAGTTAGTGGCACATGTTTTTATTTTAGTTTTAATATTTATATTTTTTTCTTTATATAAATTCAGACTTTCTGCAGATTAATATACACAAGGAATTTCATATGTTCACTCTATTTTTATTTTTTCAAAAAAGTTTCTTGAGTATTTTTGTTCTAACAGTGGCATCAAAGCCTCTAGTTGATCTTAGAGGACAAAAAAAATTATAACCTACAACACAAATGGCATCCAACAACCTACCTTTAAATCCACCATTCACTTTCACTGGTGAAAATTACCAAATCTGTTCTGAGAAGATGCAAGCTTTTTTGGAAGCCAATGAACTTTGGGAAACTGTGACGGAAGATAAACCACTTGCTGCTCTATCAGCAAATCCCACCTTGGCTCAGATCAAATCCAACAACGAAGAGAATACAAAGAAATTTAAATCCAAGTTGCTTATGCAGAAGATACTGTGTTTTACAGAATCGTGGCTTGCAAAAATGCAAACGAGGCTTGGGATAGGTTGAAAGAAGAATATCCAGGCAGGGATAGAACATGTCAAATGCAAGTGTTGAACCTGAAAAGAGAGTTTGAGTCCTTGAATATGCAGGAGGATGAAACTATCAGTAAGTATGCTGATCGAATCTCCTTAATTGTTATAACATTAGACTTCTTGGTGAAGAATTTACAGATAAACGAATTGTGGAGAAAGTTCTTGTGACTCTTCCTGAGTGATTTGAATCTAAGATTTCCTCTCTTGAAGAATTCAAGGACCTGAGCAAACTTTCATTAGGTGAACTAATGAGTGCTCGAAGCACAAGAGCAAAGGAGGACTATGAGAAGAGAAAAGTTCATTGAAGGAGCTTTCTCTGGACAGAACCAAAAAGGAAAGCAACAATTCCACCAAAAGAATAAGGGCAAGCATGATGGAGGAAACAATAGTGGAGATGTGAAGCAGAAGTTCCCTCCTTGCAAACATTGTAAAAGAAATACGCATCTGGAGAAGTATTGTTGGTGGAGAGTCAATGATATATGCAAAAACTGTAAGCAGACGGGACTCATATCCAAGGTCTGCAAATCAAGAGCAAGGGCCTCTGGTGCTTTGCAAGCACAAGTAGCAGAATCTACCGATGCACATGACTAGCAACTATTTGCAGTTTCATACTTCTCAATTAATGAATCCTCTGATTCATGGCTTCTTGACAGTGGTTGCACACATCACTTGTGCAATAATGTTGAACTGTTCAAATTCCCAGATGATACTTACAAATCTAAAGTAAAAGTGGGAAACGGTGAGGCAGTAGAAGTCAAAGGCAGAGGTACAGTGTCTATCTCAACAATATCAGGTATCAAAACTATTTCTGATGTTTTGTACACACTTGATATGAGTCGAAATTTGTTGAGTTTTGGAAAAATGTTTGAAAATAATTATTCTCTGCATCGTGAATGTGTTGTTTCTGAACCTTCTGGAGTAGAGTTATTTTATGTCAAGATGAGCAACAAAATGTTTTCAGATGATTGGGAGAAAATAACTCAGCAGACTTACACTATTACTTCACAAACATGTACAAACCTATGGCACAAAAGGTTTGGTCACTTCAATCTAAAAAGCATCGCCGAGATGAAAAAAAAGGAGCTAGTGGAAAATATGCCTGAATTTCTTTCTAATGCTCAAGTCTGTGAAACTTGCCAACAGGGAAAGCAAACAAAATTGCCATTTCAGCAAATCAAGTACGAAGAGCTAACCAGAAACTTCAGCTTATTCAAACGGATGTTTGCGGCCCAATGAAAACAAATTCGCTGAGTGGTAACAGATACTTTCTCCTCTTTATTGATGACTACACCAGAATGTGTTGGGTTTATTTCATAAGACTGAAGATTGAAGTCTTTGATGTTTTTAAACAATTTAAAGCTTTAGTAGAAAATCAATGTAATCTTAGTATTAAGGCTTTAAGGTCTTACATTGGAGGAGAATACACTTCTTCTCAATTAGTGGAGTTTTGTAATAGCATAGTATTGAACGCCAATCGACATTACCATACACTTCACAACAAAATGGCGTGTCTGAAAGTAAGAACAGGAAAGTAATGGAGATGACCAGATGTCTTTTGCTCGAAAGAAAGATCCCAAATCAGTATTGGGCTGAGACAATCAATACCTCTTATATTTGCTGAACAGATTGCCTACTAAGGCCTTGCAGGACATGACTCCATATGAAGCTTGGTGTGGGAACAAACCATCAATACACCATCTCAGAATCTTTGGGTGTATATGTTATTATTGAGTTCCAAGAACAACAAGGAGTAAGCTGGATAACAAGGCTCATAACGACATATTTATGGGCTATAGTTCATCTAAAGGTTACAAGATTTTCTGTTTGAAATCAGACAAACTAATTCTCAGCCGAGAAGTGAAGTTTGATGAAGCACCTGGTTGGGATTGGAAAAATCAGAAGACCTCTTATTCTGATTCATTTTCAATAGAGCAGCCTCAACTTTCAAAAGATGAACTAGTGGATGATGTACGAGTGAGGGGAGCTCGATCCTTAAAAGACGTCTATCAGCGGTGTAACTTGGTTAGCTCTGAACCAACAAGGTATGCTGAAGCACAAGACTCTCAGGCATGGAGGAGAGCTATGCAAGAAGAACTAGACATGATCGAGAAGAATGGAACCTGACAGCTTGTTGACAGACCTAGAAATCGCAAGGTAATTGGTGTAAAATGGATTTTCAAGACAAAACTCAATCCTGATGGAACAATTTGCAAACATAAGGCTAGATTGGTGGTGAAGGGATACGCACAACAATATGGTGTGGATTACCAAGAAACATTTGCTCCTGTAGCAAGGTATAACAAAATCAAGCTTATTCTTACATTGGCATCTCATAGTTCCTGGCAGATTAATCAACTTGATGTCAAATTGGCTTTCTTGAATGGTTTGCTTGCTGAAAAAGTCTATGTAGAGCAACCTGATGGTTTCTCAACTCCTGGAAAAGAGGATCAAGTTTATCTCTTAACAAAGGCCTTGTACGGCCTAAAACAAGCCCCAAGGGCATGGTATGAGAGGATGGACAATCATCTCATCCAACTTGGCTTTAGTAGAAGTCAAAGTGAAACTACTTTGTATGTGAAAGTCAATACTGCAGGTGAGTCCTTAATTGTATCAATTTATGTGGATGACATGCTTGTGACATGAAGCAAAATTGAACTAATCCAAAAGTTCAAGGATGAAATGGAGAAAATCATTGAAATGACAGATCTTGGAGTCATGAAGTACTTTCTCGGCATGGAAGTGTTGCAGTCCAGTGATGTAATTTTCATATGCCAGCAGAAATACATTTCGGATATTATAAACAGGTTCGAAATGCAAGACTACAAACCTGTGAGTACTCCAATATCTACTGGTGTGAAGCTTGGCAAGGATGAGGATTCTGAAATAGTAGATGATAGTATGTATAGAAGCTTAATTGACAGTCTTCTATATCTAACCGCAAGCAGGACTGACATTCTATTTGTTGTTAGTTTGCTCTCTAGGTTCATGCATTCACCTAGAGACACACCTCACAGCTGCTAAAAGAGTGTTAAGGTATATTAAAGGAACTAGCAAGTTGTTGGAGCTCTAGAAAACAAGAAACTACAGCTCAATCAACAGCAGAAGCTGAGTACATAACTGCTGCATCTGCTGTGAATCAAGTTATCTGGCTAAGGAAGATGATGAAAGACTTGGGTCATGAACAAACAGAAGCTACCAAGATCATGTGTTCAATCTCAAAATATCCAGTGTTTCATGGTCGAACTAAACATATCAGGATCAAGTTTCATTTTATTAGAGAAGTCCAACAATCTAATGAAGTGTTGCTTGTTCATTGTTCATTTAAGAACCAGCTAGCTGACATTTTCACCAAGTCATTGCCAAAGGAAAGGTTTGAAGATTTGTGGCAAAGAATTGGTGTTTGCCACAAAAATGCGAAGGAGGAGTGTTAGACAATTGACATTTTTTCAGCTTATTATTGTTTTTAGTGTTTTTTACTTATTTCAATTTAGTGCTTCCAATTTTCTAGCTAGACTTAGTCAACTTTAGTTGCTCAACTTTCTGAAGTTAGTGGCCCCATTATGGCTGTTTGTGACACATGTTATTATTTTAGTTTTAATGTTTATGTTTTTTTCTTTGTATAAATTCAGACTTTCTGCACATTAATATACAAAAGGAATTTCATAAGTTTACTCTATTTTTATTTTTTCAAAAAAGTTTCTTGAGTATTTTTGTTCTAACAGTAAAGAAACCATTATATTAGAAGTGTGATTCATGTAGCTGCTTATTTCTCATTGAGAAGGCTTGATTTACTGGACTCGCAACCGGAGCTGCATATTATGGACTAAGGCCTACATTAGAGTTCATAACCTTCTAACTTTTCCATGCAGGTAAGATATTACTTCACTTTCTCAAACTTCTCCATGTTAGCTTTTCTCACATGTCAGAATGGTTGCTATGATACTTATAATTATACTTATAAAATCAACAATGTATGGAGATCAGTTTTATATGACTTACCTAACACATAAATATTTTAGTTCCTCTTGGAGATCCTGCATCATAAATTGTCTGTTTATATAATCATCAAAATTAGGCCTGCTTTTCAACTTCCAGTAAGTTTTGTTTTCCATATATAGCTGAACAAGGGCGAGCAGACCAGTATAGAGTTGTTGCAAATAAAAAGCCTTGAGCATATCAATCGAGATCATGAAATTTATGCACAACTAATTAATTTTGAGGTCGGCCACCTTCAAGTGACTAAACATGGATATGACATCGTATTGAAGTATGGATCACACACAAATGCTATAAGACAAGTTTTCTGCACTAGACTTATATTTAACTCTTTTTTGTCTTCTTATTCTTAAGTTAGAAAAATATATTCCTCTCATTTCTTCATGAATGCCTTGTATTCTATGTCATCCTACGATTAATTCTTTTTATATATCTTAATTTACTAGAGTAAAAGTCATAATTTGGAGAACACCTCCAATGGCTTTAACTTACTGTTATATTGATCGTTGCTTATGCATATATATCAAGCAAAGATTATGAGTCAATGGATGTTGAATTTGATTATAGATGCTATGATGAGAGATGAGAGAAGCTAATAAGAAGTTGAAGAAATTCTAGGCAAGATTCAAAAATATAATCAATTTCCAGTGCATTCATGTATATTTGATTACTTTTCCTTGTGAAGGAAAATATACATGAAGTCACAATTGTAGATTTTAAAATATCATTACTTACACCGTAAATGGTCATTTTATTTTCAGATCATTATATTTTTTACACACTTTTCTTGCATGTATCATCAATATGCATTGTTTAAACTCTGGCTTGTCACCTCAAAATTATCTCTTTGTGAGAAAGCAGATCACTTGGTAAATATAGCGAGAATGATAACGTTGTCCTACACTTTGTATATCTAGGAGTCACAAAATTGCATGTGTACATGGTAAGTATATTTACTTGTATTTACCTTATTGATTTTTAATTTTATTTTCTGCATTTGTCTTTTTTACTATGTAATGTTTGAAGCTTTCAATACATGATTCTCCAATTTTTCGATTTGACTGATATTTATAGATTTTTCAGGTAGCTCAACCTCTTACTAAACCATAATTTTTTGAAATACAGAAGATTGGCTTACAAAGACTAGGGATCCAATGGAAAGGCCCTACCACTATTAAAACAGGTTATGCTCGTGATCTATGTGTATTATGTCTATTATAACAACGCTTGTAGACAAACACACAGGATTCCTTATTGCATTTCCGTATCATCTAGAGGCGTTGCTCAATTCCAAGCTTCCTCAATCTACTTTTTGAGCATGAGATCGATTTTTCTGCTCTTTTGGTCCTGTTTAAGCCTGCAAACCCCATCCCAAACAAGGTTTTGCAACAACTTTCTCAGATAGGGCATATCATTAGTTACCAATACAGTAAGGTTCAAATCCCTCTCAAGAATGGCAGAGTTTTGTATGCAAAATTCAAATAATTGTTCAGTATACGTTTGCATCAAAATAGTTATAGATACTTGTAGTTGTGTATCTTCATGCATTTACCACTGTAAAATCTATAAATCATTCAAAATCGAACAATATTTCTTCAAAAAGGAACAACATAAGATAGAACTTGTCACACCTCTTCCACTTTTATTTTACAATTATTGAGGATATGGCGATGTTTTTTAAAAAAATATTTTTCTTTTTTTTAGAGTCGTCATTTGGAAATGAATTTTTTAGGTGTTCCAAGTCACCTAATATTTTCTAATTTAAACTTAAGAAGAAAAAAACTCTATTATTTTTTATCTACGAAAACAGAGAGTGGGTAAGAAATTCTATTGATCGTCGGGAAGGTATGAGGCACCATTGAGTCTCTTGGTTCTAGCATGGTCGCTTTATTAATTTATATTTTGCAGAAAACATTTTATTGATAAAAAAAAATCTGCATTTGTTACTATGTTTGAGAAATTTGATTGGCCTAGGAGCGTAACCGCACACAAGACCCTCTTTTTAAAAAAAATAAAATACACACCAAGGATCGTAATCGAACACATGATGGTATTTAATTAATTATTTATTTTTTAAATAAAAAAATAAATTAAAATAAAAAACAATTAATTGGTCAATTTTTTAAAAAAATTAAAAAAATGATAAAAATTTATGAATATGTTGCAACATAAATACAAGAAGATGATTAGTCTTTTTTTTTTTTTGCAATTGCGTGTTAGTATTTATATTTTTTTTTACAAAAGAAAACAAATAAACAATTAAGTTTTATCACTAGACAATAACAACAAAAGAAACAAAAATTTCTTTTACAAAATAATAATTAAACACCTTTTAGAACTAGTTATATACTCATTGTAATTTTTTTTATATTGAAAAAATTTCAAAAATAACAAATTTAGTAAAAAAAAAAATTATACAAAATGACCGCATTGACTTACTTGAAAGATTTATCTAATTGTTAGATTATAAGTCAAATTAGCCAAATTTGTACTTTTATATTAATAGTCATTCATATATTTATTTACGAGAATTTTTTTTATTTATTTCAAAAAAACCATATTTAAATATATTTCTTTTATAATATTCTTTATTTATTATTTTTTTTTTGCTGAAATAACCAAATTTACATATTTTTGCAAAAATAATCAGATTTATATTTTTTGTAGAAATAACCAAATATATATTTTTGCAGAAATAAACAGATTTTTATTTTTATTTTTATTTTTGCGAAAATGACCAGATTAATCCTTTTTGTAAAAATGACTAGTTTTTACATTTTTTCATTTTTTTAAAAAAATGACCAGAACCTAAAAAAATTGTGATTGTTATATTTTTTATTTTTGAGCATAAAAAAACAAGAGTCTACTTACTAATAAAGAGGTAAAATTTAAATTAAACACGATTAGTAATATATATGTACATAATAATAAAATTAAACTAAATAAAAAATGCAAACTAAATAACATAGTAATAAACATATTCACATGAGAATCATAGTAAACTTAACTAAATAAGAAAACAATTTAATACAAACAACTTTATCAAAACATAAAAGAAAATATTTTGATTCTAAAATGACATGTGAAATGTAAAAGAAATACCTAAAGTTGATAACAAGCCAAATATGAAAGCGAACTTATTTGAATTCAAAGACCACCAAAGAAGAAATATTTTTAAACAAGAAGAAATTTCTTATGTCTTTTTTTTTCTAGCAATTTTTGTTCTTTCTCTTTTTCTCTCTATCTCCCCCCTCTCTCCCCAAATGAAAGAAGAAGGGAGATTAAATAGGTGTTTAACATTAAACCCCAACTCTTCTTGAAAACTTTAGAGCCAATGCATGCATTAGATTCTTTGTTTTTTCAAGGTGCCACACATGATGACCAATGAAATATTCTTTTTTTTTAATTTCAGATTAATTAAATGACTCTTTTGTCCTTTTAGATGATCCATTTATTTTATTTATTATTTGAATAATAGTTATGTGGGTCATCAGAAAATAATAGACCCAAATATTATTTAGATAACTCATTTCTTTTATTCATTGATTGAATAATAGCTAATGAATTATTTGAAAAATTCTAAAAATAGGCCAAAATGTCATTTAGATGACACTTTTTTTATTAATTGATTGAATAATAGCTAATGAACCATCTTAAAAATTCTAAATAGGTCCAAAAGGTTGACCCATTCCATCAAGACCCAAACAAAGTGGCCCAATAACACAAAATCTAAACATCTAAACTATTTTGAAGATCAAACATAACAAAATAAGGCAAAAAAATAAAAATAAACATAAAAATGAAATTAACAAAATAATAAAATAATAATACTTCAAACAACAATATCAACATGATAAACTTAAAGAACATTAACAAAACAAATACAAAATCCGACATCAAACGACTTGTATCAAACAAAATAAGATAAGGACGGATTTGGATAGAGATTGATAGGGGGGAAAAGATTGACATAAATTCTGGGTAAATGAAGTTCCCGAAAAACTTCGTTGGAAATTTTTTGACGGATTTTGGACTTAAAATTTATATCAAATGATAGCCCTTGAAGAGTTCTACTCATTTATGTAAAGGGTTTGGGATGAGGATGATCGGAACTTCATAAATCTAAAGAAAAAAGTGAAAATTCATATTTGATTTTCCTTAGATCTACAGAGTATGAGAAAAATAAAAATAAAAATCTAAACCAAAAAAATGGTATTTTTAGAGTTTTGTATTTTTGTTTTGGTCTAATAATAGCCCTTAGATCAAAATATCATCAATGATTGAGATTAAATCTTGATCATTTCTATTAGATCGGGTCAAAATCAATTGGGCCATCAGAGTTGAGCTAAATTAGCCCAATTCAAACAAAATTGGGCCATTTGGGCCAGTAAAATAATCAAAACAAACAACCAAAAAAATACAAATAATATATATATATATATATATATATATATATATATATATATATATATATATATATATATATATATATAGGAGTAAAATAAACACGTTTAAAATTGGGTGTTCACAACATTCCCCTCTTTGCTTGGAAACATGAAGAGTTTTCAAGCAAAGAAAGTGCACGAAGTGGCTAATTTTTGACTGTTTTAAACTTCGATGAAGCCATTTTGAAAAAGATGACCGTGTTTTGCTTCATAGGTTGCCCACATATCCTTGATTAAAAGGAAATCAGGTCAGTGTAGTTCGAGAAACTTTGATAGCTGAAACTATCAGAAGTGGTCAAAATATTGCTTTATATTGCTTGTCATCATCTAGTGCCTATAGTTACAAGAACTAGAGAAATATGTATCTCTTCATTATAGGAGTTACAAGATCCCTACTCAATGTTTTTTCTTAGGGTCTTGGTTTGATCTTTAACTTTCTTTGTGCGTTATCTCTGAGATTTATCTTCGTGCTCTCTTAGCTGCTTGTTGATCATTCTCAAGTGTTTTAACTTGAGATAGCCGCTGAAACTCAAAACTCGAGATTACAAAATGAATGATCCAAAATTATGTCTTTCTTAGGGAAAAAGAAAATATGAGAATCTTAAACTAGGACGTATTTCCCTAAAAAGAAAATGAAGAATGAGCGTACTGCCCTGTGAGTTTCAAATAAGACGTATTGTCTTTGTGGATTATCCTAAAATTGGGTGTATCACCCAAATGTGGATATGGTGTGTATAACCCATAAATGGTAGTGCGTATTGCCCAGGATATGTGTATGGTGCGTATTGCCCATGAATAGAGGATTGATGCGTATTGCATGTGAATAAGGACGTGTTCATATTGCACATGAATTCAGATTGGTGCATATTTGCATGGAATTCAGATTGGTGCGTATTGCACATGAACAAATGATGACGCATATTTCCCATGAATAAAGGACGTGTGCGTATTGTACGGAATTCACAATTGGTGCGTATTGCACAGAATTCAGATTGGAGCGTATTGCTCGAAGCTCTTGCATTAAGAGGCAAGACTGTGAGTAACATGAGATGAAACACCAAACATGTGAAGACTTTGGAGAACTTCCTTTTTTTGATGTTTCCTTTTTGGATTGTAATCTTGCATTTTCTTTTCAACCCCTGTTGAGCAAATGAAAGAGAAAATTGTTAGTTTAAAGCGGTGGTTGGTTTGTGGCCTTGATGCTCCAACGATTTGACCGTACTCCCGACCAATTTCTTCGACTCTACTCCAAATCCTTGATTGAACTACCTTTGGAACTTCCTCTATGTCAATTCAGGGGCCTTGATCTTTTTGGTACGACCAAATATTATGGTGCGACTGATGTCCCAAAGAATGATGACTTAATAGACTATATCGTGTTCCTTCACAAATTTTTAGTGAATATCTGAAGCGCTCTTAGTCCTTGCTCGATGGCATGTCAACCCAGATATTCAACTTTAGTTTTTAAAAACCCATAGTAAGCTTTGCAATCTTTTACCTTATTTTGTCAACAGATTATGTTGAAAAGACTAGAAAAATATCAGACTTAAGACTATGAAAGATAGATCAAGAAGACTATAAATTTAAGGAAGGACATTCATTTTTAAAGAGAAATGAGAAAAAGAACTTATCTCGAGGCATATGTCGACTTTGATTGAACCATCACATGCACTTTAGACTTGACTTCTGATACGTTTGAGTTGTCAAATTTCCAAAATCTTAATCATTATCAATTTAAAATCGATCTATGTATCCTTCAATGCAGAAGTGTCGGGAAATGGTCATCTTTGCAGATTTCTTTCAATGATGTTTTCTCCCTTTATCTTGAGGTGTCCACAGGATTTTCACCTATAAGATCTTCTCTTTTGTCGTTTTATGGTGCTATGAAGGTTTTCACCGATAAGACTTTCTCATTTTTTTGCACCAATGTTGCCTTTGATGATAAATATCATTTTTAGAGTTGATGAACATGTTGGTTGCTAGAATAAACAGAATTACAATTTGACATTAGTTTATCAAAAATAAAAATGCCCCATTTTTCTATAAATACTGGAATACTGATCTTTTTTTTAATAGTATGACTGAACCCCGAAGGGGTTGCCTACATATCCTTTTGTAATCAGGTCAAACGCAGTTCAAATTTTCAACGAGAGGATTTTTTGTTTGGAAGAGGTGCGTTTGTTCT